GGCTTCCCAAAGTACTGGGATTACAAGCATGAGCCACCGTGCCCGGCCTCCTAAAGGCCTCTTGAATGAAATGCCATGTGTCTTTCTGGCAAATGTGAACAATGCAAAAGACAGATCAAAGATTCTTGCATCAAACTGACCGGAATTAAGCTGCTTGATGATGAATTCTATCTGGCGGATCATTTCAGCGTTGCCTTCTTTGATGAAGCAGCGTAGGATGTCTTCCATTCCCTAGAAGTATTGGCGAGAATAACAGTTAACATTTCAGTGTTTTGGGGGAAACTACGTTTCAATGAGGTCATCTCATCTAATCCAAAAAGTAGTATTTTGGGGAGAGGAAGAGGATCTCTTGGGTGGGGGATGGAGAAGAGGAGAGAGCTATCTTTATGAGATAGATAAAAAAATTCAGCTCTCCCAGCAGGGCAGAGCCAAGGCAGTCATTGGTTGGTAACTATCTCTTTGGCAACACAAACCTGGCCAGGTGTCCAACTGGTCCCACAAGGGCAGAAGGAAAAATCCTTGGCTTATATTAAACATTCTTTTTGTCCTTTTTATAATTCATAGTGAAATAATTTTCTTCTTATTGACTCTCTGGCTGAATTATAACACATTTACCAAAAAAAAAAACAAAAAACAAAAAACAAAAAACAAAAAATCTATTGTAAAATTTTACTGTACAATATTGCCTTAAGTTTTGGCAATATGTTGGTCTGGGGCTCGGTTTTTTCCTACGTTTTCCCTAAATTTATAAACTGTCTTCTGGATTTTAGGGCCAAATATGATCGTTGAGAAGTGAAACCATATGCTTAGAGAAGTAAATGAACAAATAGAACCTCTCTTTAAACAGATTTCATTCTTTTTCTATTAAAAGAATTATAAAGTCACTACACTATACATTGTTTATAATAATACCCTGACACCAGAATTCTCAATACTAGCTAAAAGAATTCCAGGGAAAAGTAGGGATGAGATATTGACTTAAGCACGTCGTCTAATTCCTCTCCTTCCTCTTCCCTGGCAGGATTTGAACGAGTCTGTACAGCTTGAGCTTATGAGGCCTCTAACCGCTGTGAGGGGAAAGTGCTTCTAGTAATGACCTCAAAACAGAGGAAGTGGAGTGCAGCAGTACTGCCAGAGAAATGGATCTAGTGGCATGTGAGCCCCTGATCAAACTGCGCCTGAACATTTTCCTGGACTTTTCAGTTACATGAGTCAATAAGTTCCCTTTTTATGTAGGCCAGTTTGGAATCAATAGCTCTAACTGAATCAAAGAAATGCCAAGTGCAGCTTTGAACTTGCTGAGTTCTTGTCATCCAAAGCAGAGCACTACCTTCTAGAAAAGTTAAATCAGTATTGTAACTGCAATTAGTTCCCTCATGAATTTAATGTGTGACCTCACTCAAATCACTTAACTTCATCTAGCCTGTTTCTTCGACTATAAAAATGAGGATAACAATTTGAGTTGACTTGAAATTTTTAAAAGACAAAGTATATAACTGGGTGTTGGTATGCAGATATACACATTTGTCAAGATGCGTTAAACTCCCCCATGTAAGGCCTGTGCTTTTCACTGTTTGTAAATTACACCTGAAGAAATAGCCTCTAGTCCAATGAGTGGACACCTGATAAATGGTCAAGATTGTGCTTGCTGTGTCCAGTAGGGGTTCGTGGCTCAGGAGAGAGATCTGGGAGCTGAAGCAAAGGGAAGAAACAAGGTTCCCCAGTGATGGCAGTGAGAGAAGAGCAGAGGGTGAGGATAGAACCTTAAGGAACAGTCACACTGAGCTGGGAGGCAGAGATGGGTAAGCTCACAGAGGCCGAGGGGACAGTCTGGAAGGAAGAACTCTGGAAAGCTGTCCGTGAGCTGAGGGACCAGCAGTGCCCAGGCTCCTGTAGGACCATTTGGACATCTGGCCAGGCTTGTCGTACCAGAGAGACAGTTACCAACCAATGACTGCCTTGGCCCTGCACTGCTGGAAGAGCTGAACCGTATATCTCACAAACGTGTCTCTCCCCTCTTCTCCATCCCCCATTCAGTATCAGGACCACAGGAAGGAGACAGTTATCAAGCAAAAGCAGTGTGATAAGCCCCTTGTAAAAATTTTTACTTATTTATTTATTTTTTGAGATGGAGTCTTGCTCTACTACCCAGGCTGGAGGGCAGTGACATGATCTCGGGTCACAGCAACCTCCAACTCCAGGGTTCAAGTGACTCTCCTGACTTA